AGTCTCCTATTGAAAATGTGAGTTTCCGCTGCCGTGCTGGGTATAGCCCCATCTCTATTCTTCTTTGAACCTTCAAAATTTGATGGGGAACCTCACAAATTATGTTCAATCCCAACTTGCCTGTCAAAATCCCAAATCTTATTTTAACAAATCCAGGCGTTTCCCCTCCAAATTCATAACCTCCCGGCTCCAAAAAAAGGTCTGCAGCAGATCTGCAGCCAGGCACTAAAAGAATGGCACCGGGCATCAGCAACTCCTCCCCCGCACTGGCCGGAGAATTGCTAAGTTTCAAGTTTGTTCAACTGCTGAGCCCGGTTATATGACAAATATATATATATATATACACTGTATATATATACTGATATCATTGTGTAGCATACATTTACACCCACACATATATATATATATTATATATATATGATATATGCATGTAACTGCATGTATGGGTGAGCCTCTAGGTGGATAAAATCTGATATAATGTCAATATCTTTCAATTATAGAATATCATGCCATCTCACTGCAGGTGAGAACTGTATTCAAACTGTACTGGCCCAGGTGATAAACAGATTAGTGGCAAAACAGTTCGCTCTCCGCTTCTATGGGGTTCTATGTTGCAGCCAAAAAATTGGAGGCAACAATCATGAGCCAAAAGAACCGGGAGAAAACATCCTGTGGCTCTTTCATCAGAGGACCAGGACCTTTAAAATCATCATTGATTATTTTTCCCCATGTATTACCCTCTGGTAAACTAACATAGCTATGGAAAATAACCATTTTTAATGGGAAAATCCACTATAAATGGCCATTTTCAATAGCTATGTTAGTTTACCAGAGGGAAGGACCCTTGCGCTGCCCTATTCTGTTCTGCCTTTCAGCAGTCCTGTTTGATCAGCACTTCAAGGTCGGACCAGAATCTGGAACCTCGAGGTTTCCATCGCCGCAGAAGACTATGACAAGAACCATTATAATCCATCACCCATAGGATCCATGTATGCTATATATGGTAACATTTACCATCAATATGCCCCCAATGTTACCATATATGCCATCCATGGAGCATATGGGTCATAAAGTATCCATGCCTTGGGGGCACTGCCAACTGGATACGCTGACACCACCATAGTATACCATAGTATCATAGACTCCCGTTGTTCGCAAGACAATCGCAACAACGATTGTGCTTTGACATAATCAAAGGATGGGCTTCTGGAGCGGAGTATACAACGGGGTAATTGACAGATTCGTGTCGTACCATTTTTCCCTGTGAAAGGTGATGAAAGGTGATCGGCCTTCATCCTGAAAGTGCCTGCTAGCAGCTGCTAGCATGATTCCTGAAGTTCGCAACACAAGTGGCATGCGTGGAGTAACTGCCTGGAGGCAGAAGAAACAATGGGAGAAGACATGAGTCCCTTTTGGCCATAGATCAAACTATAGCAAAACCCAAGTTGAATTATTGAGACATATTGAGACTATTGAGATGGCGCACCCACCCCAAAATAAACACTACATGGATCTAAAATGATCTAAATGGTTGAAATATGTTGAAATTGCATGGCGCACCCACAATGCACTGGCTCCCAGCAATGACAGGCGGCCGCATTGGTCCATAAACACCATCGCGAAGCGTGGAAATTTTGCATCGGATTCACCTGGCTATGGACACACATTTGGATCCAACAGCCTTGGATGTTTCAAATTTTGGGGATGTTTTTCCATGTTTTTATGTTGTGTTTCTTTGCTTGTTTTCTTTGGATTTCGAAGACATGTAGTTATTTTAGGTTGGGTTGTGCTACCCATTTTCATTGTGAATTTCAGTTTAAACAGAATTTGTTGGATACATTATGATACATTCGGATGCATTTGGTATCCAAGCTATTGAGGCAACATGCCAATGTGAAATGATGTGTTTCAATTTCAGCGGAGGATTTTCGGACCCTCGGCCCGGCACCATACCGGTCCCGGAGGGAGCGAAGGACATCGCCGCTTTGACCCGTCCAAACGCGCACCTGCAGGGGATTTTGCTGTGTTCCTTTACTGGACAAATGGTGTTGCTGGAAAGCATGGGAAAATCAGACCATTTCAAGAGTACATTGCTAAAAAAAACTTCAGAGTTCAGGCTTGGTTTTCCTGATGGCGACAGCATTATCATGGTGCATAAATTTAGAATATGTCAGGCCTTTCATTGACAAAATCCTGGCGTGGCGGCCTTCCTGCCTGGTGGTCAACGCCCGCATGGATTGCCAAACCTAACTGCGGCAGGTGAAAGGTGAAAGCAGCTTGGATCTTCCAAATAGGCTAAAAAGTTTGGCTTTGGAATCGTGGCTAACCCCAGATGATCCTAGATTACTTTGCGAACAAGTGCGTTCTGGGTTGGAAAAGAATAAAATATGTCCATACCAATTGCCGAAAACAGCTCAGAAAAATAAGCCAGAACAATCGAACATCCACCAAGGCACACCAATCCCATCCAAAGAACCCTCTGGTTCAGCGGGTTAGTATTGAATCTATTCATGTCAGGGTCCCATATGGGGGGGTTGAAAGAAATCATCGAAGGAATATCGGTTATCCTGACCCTGTGTGATGGGGCCGTCACCACACAATTTTAAAAAGATATGGAGAACACATGATCAAAAATAAGATATTTACATATTTACATATATATATATATATTATTTATTTATTTATTTATTTATTCCCCACCTGCCAGGTGAGGGTTGTTAGATTTTATGTCAGTTGCCTCCTCCTCCTCCTCCTGTTCCTCCTCCTCCTCCGCCTCCTCCTGCCTCCTCCTGCCTCGTCCTCCTCCTCCTCGTCCTCCTTGTCATCCTTGTCGTCCTTGTCGTCCTCGTCGTCCTCGTCGTCCTTGCTCAACTGCGATCCGCGATCCACAGTGTTCTCTGCCGGACCTCAACCACGACCACCCACGCCCAGTGTTCCCTGCCGGACCTCAACCACGACCATCCACGCCCAGTGTTCCCTGCCGGACCTCAACCACGACCATCCGCGCCCAGTGTTTCCTGCCGGACCTTCATTGTAGGAAGGAATATGGGACAAAGAATGTGCAGAAGAAAGTTAGAAAGAATGTCAGAAGAAATGTTCAGAAGATAGGCCCAGAAAGATATGCCGAAGAATGCCAGAGATATGTTCAAGAAGTGCTATGCCAGAAGATATGCCAGATAGAATGCCAGAGATTACTATGCCAGAAGATATGCCCAGATAGAATGCCAGATAGAATGCCAGAAGGATTCTGCCCAGATAATTAGAATGCCAGAAAATATGCAAGAAGATATGCCAGATAGATATGTCAGAAGATATGCCAGAAGATATGCCAGAAGATATGCCAGAAGATATGTCAGAATATATGCCAGAAGATATGTCAGATAGAATGCCAGAAGATATGTCAGAATATATGCCAGAAGATATGCCAGATAGAATGCCAGAAGATATGTCAGATCGAATGCCAGAAGATATGCCAGATAGAATGCCAGAAGATTTGCCAGATAGAATGCCAGAAGATATGCCAGAAGATATGCCAGATCATATGCCAGAAGATATGCCAGATAGAATGTCAAATAGAATGTCAGAAGATATGTCAGATAGAATGCCAGAAGATTTGACAGTAAGAAAATGTATAAATGTCATGGTGGGGATCACACGAAGTAAAGTAATTTATTTATTTATTTGTTTATTTATTTATTATTTATTTATTTATTTGTTTATTTGTTTATTTATTTATTTATGTATCCACTTATCTATATGAACAACATATTCGTTGCAGGGACATGGGTTTGTGACCGGAAATTCCAGTCATCCCGACATAATCATCGATGATTGGCCGAGTTCCCCCGGCATTGTGACAGCACTGCGTGTTCCGGGTCCACCTCGATAGACACCACCTGAGCAGCACGTAGCCACCCAGGAGGACTAAGATGCAAGGTGGGCCCTCAAGAATGCTAAGTACCTGCAATATCTATCTTTTATGTTTGATATTGTTAGATATAACATGATATACATATATATATATATGTGTATATATATATAACTAACTATATAGGCAGTGAGGTTTACAAACCAACTTATAACTAGGGGGGCCCACCATGTGGATAACTATGAGAAACTATGAGAAACAAACTGGAAAGCATGGTTTGAACCCATTTGGGGTTGTCTCAAAAGAATAGGAGAACATCAAGTTCCGAAATCTGGGGTTGTCACACAGCCCAGAAGTCCAGAGAATGACTCTCTCTGGCGCTTTTGATTTCAAGCCATCCCAAGAATATGTGATATAGTATACACATGATTCAGTTAGAAAAAAGGGTAAGCATCCCAAACATAAACCCATGCATGGTCAATTCGTGGTTTGGGGCATGGTGCCATTCCAAACCATGAACCACATGAACCATAAGTCAAGTTGCCTTGGATGTAGGTCGACCTGGCAACTTTCAATGTAAAGTGGGTGTCAGGCGGAATAATGAAGGTCAACCCCAGATTTGCGGCTGGCTTTTCTCGCATGTGGGTGGAACAAAATTGCCTGTAGTTCCTTCTCCCCATGTGTTTTCCCGGAATATGGATGCAACCATAAGTCCTTAGCTTCCTCCTCCCTTGAGAGGAGCATTTGAACCTGGAATTGTCACTATTTTGGAGACCCCACTATAGTAAACTCAGGCTCATGCCCAGGTGACACATCCAGTTTGAGCGGATTTGAATGCACATAAACACCTGATGAAGCGAACCACCAGAAGACGAACATTGCAATAGTTTAAAGATATCCCGGAAGAGTTTCCGGACTCAAGAATTCTATCCTAAGGCATGTGTAGGTGTGCCCCCTGGCAGAGTCAAGCACGCAGGTCTGCTGCAAATACTCTGCAACTCTGAAATGAGGAGTATCCTTTGCTGGATGTTAGCCCAACTTGGGGTGAATACCCACTGGTCCAAAATGCCCCACTTTGGAGCAACGAAAGGTCAAGCACTTTCTTTGATCATCAGCCCTAGCAACAACATCATCAGGCCAAGTGCGACCAAAGTCGCCACCCTCGTGTGTGTAATCTGTTATACCATGTTATACCCACAGTTCTCTGGCATTGTGTGGGGTTCCACCCGCAAAGAGATCCTGAAAAACAACAACTCCCAGCTGCTGTCAGCGACATATTGCGACCAGTTTTTTCTCTGCCGCTGTCAGCCCAGGGATGAAAGCTGTAGTCCTTGAAGCGGATCTCCTGGTTCCATGGCAAGGCCCCAGGTATACCCACTGCTGCTCCCGCCCCTGTCCTATCTGTCCTCGGAGGGGCTGTGGACAGCTTCGTCCCAGCGAAAGATGGGCTCTTTGCTGAGGAACAACTCTTGTTCAAAGAGTGAACCTGAGATTCTGCGGAAAGCGCCATGCCAGTTGCAACAGGGATCTCAATCAATCTCAAGGTATCTCAAGGGAATCTCAAGGGTGGTCGGGGTTGGGGAAATCACTGGAAATCTCTAGCCGTTGAGGCCATTGGACGCTCTGAGACATCACACTTGAGCTCTAGAAAACTTGTATTAGGCCCGATCACACAAGCTTGAAGCTGACCCACTGAGCTGTAAGGAAAAACTATTGAACGACTGCAGCATGGTTTCAACCCAACAAACAACTTGAATGTGTTGGCATTCTAGCATTCTGGACAGAAACCTTACCATATATACCTCAAGTCACCAGAAAACAACACAAACCGAGACACTGGTCTTTGAGTCCACTCTTTCAATGATGCCTTCATCCAGATTCAGGCCAATCGTCTTCAGCGCCATCCTCGGATAACTTCACAAACACCTGTCTCCAGGCCTTTGACCTATATGGTTGTGTCCAAACATGTGGTATACGGAATACCTCCCAGTTATGGTCATGGTCATGGGGAGATTATGACAAATCTGATTTTGGGATACCATGTCTTCAAAGAAACCCAATTGGCATATGCTGATCCTGGTATCTTGGAACCTTCCAAGAGTCCTAGAAGGGGTTCATATTGGCGGAATTGCACACAAGAAACCATCAAGAAATATCAAGAAACCCTCGTTTGGGCCAAAAAATCCTGATAGTTGAGCTGAATCTAATCGAAACTTGGCAATGAACACATGTGCCGGTGTATATCCACTTAATTATGGGCCAACTTATGGGTGCTTGTCATATTCAACATCATGCCCAGCTGGCCATTTTCCAGCACTGGAAGGTACAGTCGGTATAGCCATTCATTCCCCACATGCTTCATGGAGCCCACCTGAAAGGACACGAGGTTACCCTGTGCCAGTGGCCTATTCAAGACTGCAATTTGTCCAGTAATTGCCTGTTAAGAGGCAAAACATGTTTGATCATGGCCAATCTTAGATTCGCTGAAAAAAACAAGAAGTTTTAGCTGTTTCCTCGTTCTTTGTCCCATTTATGGCTTAAAAAAACCAGCCCAAACGACGGGTTCACCAACCAAAGGGGGAACCGTCCAACCCGCTGAGCGGCCGCAAGCGCTCCAAATGCCGACCCTCGAAGTAGACCTGGACGGTGCCATGGTGCCCTGGAGATGGACCTCCGGTTGTGCGCTGTTGTACCCTTTCTATGTACGCAGTTGTCAATACATGTACAAAATATACACATAAATATACATAAATACACAATAATACACATAGGTATGAAATCAATACAAGTAGAAAACATGTGCACATATATATATACATATGCACAAATGCATATATATATATTATAAATATATACATGCAATTGAATATGTCTTGCACATGGGTTGATCATCAAACAGCATATTGGCCAATATTGGCATATTGTAATATATTAGTAGATACCACCATGTTGTTTTGGTCATGTGATCACCATGAATCCCATCCAAGCGGCCCAAAGGAGATAGCCGAGGGCGCCATCGCCAGGCACGCCAGGAGTCTCCAAAGAACAGGCCAGGACGGAGTAGTCATGGCACTTCCTGAGTCTGTTGATTGGCAAAATCTCCATGAATATCATGAATCCTTCGCTAACAGAAGAGATTGCAATGATGGTCGGCCAAAAAAGCAAATCTCGATGTACCCTCTGGTAAACGTTTACAAAAAACTATAGAAAATCACCATTTATAGCTGGGTAAATCCACTATAAATCACCATGTTCAATAGCTATTTTGACATAACCAGAGGGTCGGTGAATTTGTTGATCCACAGCAGCTTTACCCTGTCGTCATCCAGCCCAGGCATGGAAAATGCCATGGAAAATGGCCATGGTCATCGCAGGTAACCGAATCATCGACTTAAATGGGCACAGCACTGCGCCAGGAAATCCGAATCTAATCCGAAACACATACCTGGTTGGTGGTTGAGCCCTACCCCTCTGAAACATATGAGTTCGTCAGTTGGGATGATTGTTCATACTGTTCCCAATATATGGAAAAACAAAATGTTCCAAACCACCAACCAGACATCTAAAAACAGAGACTGAGTCAAAGATCTGATTGTGAGAGAATGAGCATTGTGAAGTCACATCTGGATTCCTGTTGTGGCTAGAATCCATTGATGGGTACAAAGGCTGGTCGCCAACCATATACTGTCGACAGTAACCCGACAAAAATCCCCCATTACATAGTTAGCTGAGTCGGTTTTTAACTGGGACCACCCCCCACAATGAAGTTCAATTCAATTCACTCTAGAAAAAGGCGGAGTTAATTTCAATTCAAACAAGTCAGTCAGTTCAAATTTGAATAAATCAAAATTTGATTCAAATTTGAAATTCAATTCAAAGTCAGTTTCATTCAAACTCAGTTCAAATTCACAACAGATCAAACCAAGCTGAAGTCAACTTGGAATCAATGTAGTTTTAAAAGCAGTATGAATCTTCCCAGATTGGTTTCGATGAATACATTCTCAATAACCAAGGAAAGCCTTACCCAACTCCATGTATGGGGTCTCAAGAAGTTTGTTTGGCCTCAATTTTCTTCATGGTCCAATATTGTTTGAGGAGGGGTCATTAATATGATGCAGATATTGTTTTTTTGTGCATATTTCATATTTCTATAGTTAACGATAACCGAGGTGGCGCTAGATTGTTGAAGTACCAATGGGCACATCAGATTGGGGGCTCATCATCAAAATACCACTGCGAAGCTGGCCGGTAAAGGCGGCTGAGGCACCTAAATCAACAAGGCGGGGCACCTAAACGATATTTTAGTTGGTTCACAACTTGCTTAACTAGGAAATAGGATATATAACATGATATAACCTGGTATAACATTGACTCGAGTTCATGGTGTTTAGAAACCAACTTATAACTGGGCGGGGCCACCGCCCAGTAGCATCTATCAATCTTCCACTCTCCACTGCATTAGGGGTGTCTCATTGGACCAAGTCCGTCCGAAAAAGGACTTGGAAGATCCACTGGTCAGGTCAGGTGACAGGCCATAAAACGTGGGGCAAACACTTCAAATTGCCAGGCAAGTTTCATGTACTCGTCATCTTGCAACTTCATCACTTCTGGCTTTCCTGATTGCAGCGATCCAGGGAAAACTTGAGGCCGGGGGTGGATGACGAAAGCTAGCGGGGTAGGAGAAAGAAGGAAGGGAAGAGGTGAGTTGCGGAGGGACTGTCATCATCGTGTCGCGGCATTGTTCGTCCCAACGAGGATGCAACAATGATATATTGATATATGATATATAACAATGATATATATGGGGGAGGGGGCAGGGGGGGGCCCTTTCGCGGGAAAAAATCACGTGATGTCCTTGGGGAGCCCCGGAATACGTGCTAAAGCAAGAAGACTCTAGCGAGC